CATTAAGGACGCTGCTGGACACACCTTTGCCACCCGGTGAGTGAAAAGGATTCGATGCAAGATGAGACACGATTCTGGAATGAGTGACAGCTTGTGCTTTCGCTGGTAACATCCGAATTTCTGAATTGAACGAAAAATCACTCAGTTTCGAAGAGGTGTCTCATATGGCAAAATCCTTTATTTGGTGGTGAAAATATGAGGGCCGGGGCCTAATGGCATAACCACCGGTCGAGGTTGGTTGTTTTTTGTGACGTGTAAGTGACAGCTAGAGAATGGTTATGGATATAGATCAAGTTTGGTGCTATCGGATGTCACCATTCGATTTTTATATATTTTGGCTTTGAACAACTTCATTTCGATGACATTGTTATGCTGGAGAAGCCACCAAGGTCTGGTAAACGTAGTATCCGTTGAGGTTTTAGTTGAGTTGATTATGATTTAGTGAATAGAGTTTCAGTTATGAAAATTTGGTTGGGTTTTGATGTGGACGCTTCATATTTCAGATTGAACAATGTGTTCATCATCGGTAAGGGCACAAAAGCATTGGTAAGTTTACCGGGTGCAACGAAGGGTGTAAGGTTGACAATTGCTGAAGAAAGAGATAAGAGATTGGCCCAGAAGAAGGCCACATAAAGTGTTTGTTAATATTATTCATTATTCGTGTTTTTGAATGCACATTGTTAAGTGTTGTTTGTTGATTATTACATACAGAAATAAATAAATAAATGATTGTTAAATTGATTTTGTTGCGTTTCGTACACACCACATCATTTGTTGCATTTCATCATTGGATAATACACCTATTCCAGGTGTTATTTCATGTGTGCTCATTTACATAAAGGTTTGGTTTGAGTCAGGAGAAAATCTGTTAACTGCATATGGGGGAGAGATATTGTAACTTGGTTCATAAGAACAAAATGACTGTCAAGGAGACAAATTTGACCACAGCAATTGTGACTAAAATGCACTGGAGGTAGGCTTTGCGACCGTCGCATCGTTGCAACTCAGTGTGGGTGGGTATCTCAATGCATTAAAGGCTTGAACTGAAATGAATTGCAATCGACAGAATCAGTTGTTTTAAACTGATTGAGAGGGAAAAAGAAACTGACTAGTTATGTAACTGACACAAATCAAGAATTCTGTTTGTTGAAGATGCGCCATGGTAATAAAATCATCAAAACTGTGGGCAGTGTTGCAAGGAATAGTGTGTGTTCATAAAGCGAGAGACGTTTCGTTGGCAGCACTCAAAAAGATTCTCACATCAGCAATATGCGCGAATGCAAATGCTGCGGTTCGAACACCTGAACAGCAACTGCCTTTAATTGAAATGCCCATCGTTGAACCTCATCCCAAATCGCAAGCATTGGTCATTACAGGCTTACGGAAACAACTTGATTACACGTGAGTGATGCAGCACATTGATAGTTTATATCTTTCTCTTTCATGAGCACTCGAAAGAATGACATCTGCAGAGCTCAACCAGCATTATTGCTTGTTTTACTGATTGTGAGCATTCACTGTTAATTTTTCTGCATTTTGCATCCCTGTCGTCACATACTTTATCAAATGGATTTTATATCTCACCATCAAATGAAACACTTCAAACGAATCTTCAAGCGAATCATCAAATCAAGCAATTCAACCAATTTGTCGACTGAATTGTGAGGTTTCTCAAAAATTTCAGGCATCATCCGTTGGTTGTTGGTGAACCGTTTCGGAAAGAGGACATCCGAGTTGAAGAACTCAATTATATGGAACCAACCAGTTGTGGAGTTTGTCGTGAGCATTTTCTTGTTA